CTCTCTCTCTCTCTCTCTCTCTCTCTCTCTCTCTCTCTCTCTCTCTCTCTCTCTCTCTCTCTCCCTCCCCCCTCTTTCCCCCCGTGATAGCCCTCTCAAGACTTGACTTCTCTCTCAACCCTTGTATCCCTCTGTCTCTCTCTCTTCTCTTCCGCTCCCGCTCCCTATCTGTTACTACTTGGATCGTAACCCTGGATACATCCGCTCTTCTCCAACTGCGAGTTCAGCTATGGCAGCTATGGCCGCCTTCTCCTTCCTTAACCCTAACTGGTGTGCTCGCCAGCAGGCCCTCTGGCGCACAGTCCAAGCTGTGTGGTCGGACAAGCAACCAGCAGCGCTTCCGTATCTCCCACAAGGCAAAAGATATCCCAGGCTGCACTGTAGCAGCTATTAATAGTTGCTTGACTTGGTGATGAATGCTCATCTGAAGATGAGCAATGCGCATGTCCAAGGAGCGCCGGTGTGATGAACAGGACTTGGAACAAAAGGAGATAATGCACAATGTCACACGTCTCACACAATCATTGTCACACATGTCAACACAGCAAGGAGGGGAATCATACACAGAAGAAAGGTCCCTGCTTACGCGCACACATGGGGAAGAAACCACATATGATGAAGGGGGGAGGAGAGACGAAGATGGAGAGGGGAGAGAGGACACGAGTGGAACTCGTAGTCATCCAAGAAATAGTCTCTCTGTTGATTGTCCAGCTAGTGTCTGTCCTCAAAAATGTAGAATAAGATCCTGGGCGCACATAGGCCTGAAACAGTCCTGTCTGGAATTTCTCTCTCTCTCTGAAGAAGAAGAAGAAAAGAGGGAGGAGAAGAAGAAGAAGAATAGTGGCTATGGAGGAGCGGAGAACAATCAGGAGAAGGAGAAGAAGAAGAACTCTTCCAAGAAGCATCCTGAGGTAGAACTCTGCTCTGTCTCGCGCGCTCCTGATGACGATGCCACGAATACTGACCAGCGAAGGTGATGACTGCTGATGCAGGTCGCTGCTGAAGGCCAGTCTCATGACCGGTACGAAGTCCCGGCTATGGCACCCAGGTAAGTCTCTCTCTCCCTCGTTGACATGGCCTCTACCAACATCTCCACTCCAGCCTACTCGTCTACTCCTCCAGCGCTGCTCTATCACAGCTCTCCCCAAACAGGCGCTGCTCCAGCAGCGTGATGCCCAACTGAGGCTCCAGCGCGAATGTCCTCAAAGTGCAGGACTGGCCCATCTATATACCGCAGGCCCTGGCTGCGCAGTCGGTCTGCAATCAGGACCATCGGATCTGATGTCCGATCGATGGTCCTGATCGCAGGCCCAAGTCCTGGTCCTATGCCTGGCCATAAACGGCCTGCCTGGGTCCCTATCAGACGTCCAGGCAACCCTGCTGATGCAGCAGGGTCCTGAGGACTGGGCCAGGCACAAACAGACAAATGCCTGGTCCAGTCCCAGATACCGACAAATCTGAACCTGGCCTACAATGACTGAAACTGAAATCCACTGGTCCGAACAGGCAGATCAAAAGGAAAAGTCTGGCCCAACACATCTGAAACAGACAAAAGTAGTCCAGCGAAAACCCAGCCCCAAACTCACTCAGCAAAAATAAATGAATAAATGCTGGAAAAGGAAAGAGAATGGGACGGAGGCTATGAGCCTAGGCCGAAAATGTGGCCATGGCCCGCCAAGTTGCCCAGCCAAAGGGGCTGTGCCGCCTAAGGGCTGAGAAGGAAAATGTCGGGCCTGAAGGGCCCGTGTAGGAGCCCATAGAATGCTACACTTGGTTGGCTTCTGACCCGTACCGGTTGCCCGCTGTCCGTCTGCTGCATGAGTTTTGGTGGCCCGGTACCTTCCGGACTGTTCCTGGGATGCTGCTGCGAAATTGGACTTTGGGCCTGAACTTTCTCGTTGGGTACCGGTCGGACATTTGCCGGTCTGATTCGGTACTGGCCCGGCACCGACTTACGATGTTTCAGCCTCCTACGGACCTAAGGACCCTAACGACCCTACTTGGGACTCACCTACTGGGACAGGTTGGAGCAGGACCATCTGGGACTGGGCCCAACTGGAACTAGGACAATTTGGGGCCTTGGAACCAGGACTCGGGTGTCTGCAGCGTGGAATCCTTTCAGTCTCGCCGACTTAATTTCGAGGTCCTCTGTTGCATGCTGCGCCTGCACACGGGCCCCATTTTGGGGGCCCGACGGTTGCTGAGGGCCCCTAGGCCGCACACCCATTCAAGGCACGCGACCTGGAGGCCCACAGCCATTTCTCAGGCTGCAGGTTCAGATTTGAGCCAGCATTTGACTCGTTGTCTGTTCTATTTTTGTCTCCTTCAGGATGTCGTTTTGGAGTGCAGTATGTCCGAACAGGCTTACACTCTGCTCGGACCAAGGCCACGTTTTGGGCCTCCATTCGTGGCTAGGCCTTTCTAGGCCAGGTCGGGGTTCGTCCGGACAGGATTCCCTGCTGCAGGGAAGCCCTGGACGTCCGGTAGGGACCCAGGCAGGCCGTTTTAGGCCAGGACCAGAGGAGCAGGACTTCTTCCTGCAACCTGGTCCGTGGATTGCACTCACGACCTCGCGACCCAGATTGCAGGCCATGGACACATCAGCCAGGCCCAGCACTATAGATAGCGGGATCCAGTCCCACACACGCGAAGTTGGAGTAGCTCACTTCCTGAGTGACTTGCTGCTGGAGCAGCGCGTGATACAGCTCTGCGCTAGGACTAGAGGTAGAGGCATAGAGAGAGAGAGAGAGAGAGAGAGAGAGAGAGAGAGAGAGAGAGAGAGAGAGA